TACACAGCCACAAAGGAGTGCTGAGAGAGGATGGCATGAGTGTAGCCCAAATAATACCCTGCCCTGGCTCCACCCACACCCGTTACAAGAGCCATCAGCCCATCAAAGGCCCATTTCCACAAGTCCAGAGGAGCCGGGGACGCAATGGCAGATGGGGACCCAAACTAAGGACTCAGAGGAAAGGAAAACCTGTCCAGGCCCCTGCCAAGGCTGTCCCAGGAAAGCCTCAGCCCCAGCGTGCAGGCATGAAGCCCATCAAGGTGAGTCAACACCACAGGCACTTTACCACTGAGGAGGGTTGCAGCCTATGGATACAGGATACATTACTGGATGCAAAGGAAGAGCATTTCAGGATTGCACAAGACTTCTTATGGAATGCTCAGGGGAGGAATCAAAGGCAAAGAAAGGGAGAGATCTAGGGGATTTGGGAAGGAACAAGCGGGAAAATATAGAGATAAGGGGATAGAAAGGGTGAGTTGTGTGTGAGCAGTTTTCTGGGTGACACGGTTGTCTGCCATGCCTTGCACCTGCTCAGCACAGCCCATTCCTATCTTCTTATTAAATTCCTTTATAACTCTTTTGTCTGAGTGAAGGACCCTCTCTTTTGGGTGTACGCATGTGTATGGGCATCTGAGTGCCAGCCTCTAGTCAAGCCACTGAGGCGTGGAATCACGACTTTACAACCAGTAAGGTTATAAAGTAGGTATGTTTATTCAGCCCTGGGCGCATGGGGGAATCATTTCCTCCAAATGCACGAGCACCTTGGAGCCAAAAGCGGCTCCTTTTTATTACGTAGAATGTTACATATGTATCACAATTCCGGGAATAGGGAGGGAATATTACAAGTAGTTCCAAGAAATCCTTAAAATATCCCCCACCCCAAGCCCCCAGCTGCCGACCCTCCCCTAGCAACTCCCATGTTATCAGATAAACGGCATGTCTTAACAGACAAAGGGCATGTCTCAACCCCCAGGTGCAACGTTTCCTGGGGTGGGGGCATCTGGTTTCCTTAGATCACCACGGGTTGGAGAGCCCTTGTGCCTGGGTGACAGTGACTGGAGAGACAGGAGTGAGTTGACAGGAGCCGAGGGTCTGGGTGCTGTAAGCTGGGCCCAGTATCCAGCTTTGGGAGACCCGAGTCAGCGACGAGAAGTGCCGTCCCCTCTAGCCTTTATGCCAGTGGGGAGCGAGCGTGCGAGTGGGTGCGTCAGCGTTACTCACGATCAATCTGGGCTAGCTGGCGAGAAGGTGATGTGCCCCGAGAGCCCGGGAGGAGGCAGCATGGATGGTGCATCTCTAAGGGCAAAACCACAGGAGGAGCTGGCATGCCAGACTGCAAATGCGTGCTCGACCTCACTTCAGGTGGACCTGGGAGCGTGGGGCTGTGTCAGCCTCACCTCTCTTGAGCTGATGGATCTGGCCTGATTCCTCTAACATAAACATCAAATATTTCACTTTGTGTGAAAGTGCTTGAGCCCCAGACCAGTAGGCAAGTGGGTAGCAGCAGATGTAGTCACTGCCATGTTTTTTAGAATAACTCCGCTCATTCTTTCCTACAAAATACTGTGAGACATATCTTGGAAAGATTATAGCCATGAATCCTGAATGAATGAAAATGCGTTACTGGTAGAGCAGTTCCAGTTAGTTTTTCTCTCTGCATAGTACGAGGGTACACAGACCCTATTTTGAGGTATCTAACAAATTCCATGCATTGATGGGAAAGCACAGGCCCCTAATTCCAGAGCCGGGTTTCCAAGTCCAGGTACCTAGGAGTTCAGTGTTGGCATATCAAGTCATTTAACTGAATTAAGTGCTTTAAGGGGAAAAGAAAAAAGTAATATATAAATACTGGCACAACATTTGCTTTTATCTGCTGGAATGGCCCCAGTGCTACAAAAGTTATTTACAAATCAGTATAAATGGTCCAGAGAACTCCTTTGCCAGCTCAGTTAAACATCAGACAATCGAATAGTTAAAACACAGGTTTCTTCAGAGGCACTGGGCTCTCCTCAGGGCTCTGGGGAAAAATACTGATGACATGGTGCTCTGAAGATGATTTGTTCCCTGTTTTTTCTTTGCCCTCCACCCCAGGAAAATCCTTTCTCCACTGCTTATGAATTTTATTTTCCAACCACACCTCTAGCCCTAGGAGAGCTATTACTGGAGCCTTGTGTTTTTCAAACAGTTGATGCACACATTATCTGAATTTCTTTAAAAGGAAGGGCTGCTAAAGGGTGGGTCCCAAAGCTGCACACATGGTGTGATGGGAAGTAAAACAAATGTGCACAGATGCACTCCTAGCAACAACTCTTACAGTAATGTAACAGTAAATACTCGCCTTTCTGCCTGAAAAACTAGTTTGTATTTATAAGATACAAGTTATTTCTTGCAGTCCCTCCACAGAGATTTAGCATTAATGTATCAGGAACTAGACCAGAATATAAATTATTTTCCACAACAGTGAAAGTGACTTTAAAAATGGTCACCTGTTCTCATTGAGTTTACATCATGATTTTATACATTTTTAACAATGTGATTGACTACTCCTGTATGTTTAACAGCAAATTCAGTCAAGTGGTTCACAAACATAAAACAAACTGTTTCAGTGGATTTGAGCAAGACAGAATAGTCTCCACAAGACTAAACTGCACCAGCATTTTTTAACCCTCAGAGAAACCAGCCACCAGTGAGATGCAAGAGCAATCTGATCTGACCTTACCTGCCAGCAGTTCCAGCAGTGACAAACACAACCAGCTAAACCAAACATTTAAGCCTAAACAACAGCTACCTCTTTTGGAGCTAAACAGGCTTACATTACCTAACCAGAGGATGAAAAAAATCAGACTGTGGGGAAGAGGCAGAGTTTTCCAGTGATTTGGAAATGCATGGAGGTGTTTTATCAGCATTTTTATCCTCATGTCTAGGTTTATAGTACATTCAAGAGGACTCTGGGATAGAGGACTGGAAAGAATCTTCCAATTCTCCAAAGAATCTACACGATTCGTTTTTATCAAGATTGTCTGGGTAACTCCACAGAAGATGGCTGCATGAGAAGCAGCATTGCTAGCTCTTGTTCTGCTGCACAGTGCAGGCTCTGCAAGAACTGCAACTGCACGCTGAAGGAGATGCCCTGAAAGACAACGGGAACAGCGAGGAATCTGGGAGACAATCACACACCTGGGATAAGCAAAACCTGGGCAGAATTTAATCAGGGCCTGTGCCAACACTGCCACTGCAGTAACTCTCTCAGGTCAAATGTAGAGTCCTCTGTTCCAGGCAACCAGGTTTCACAATCTCTTCTGTAAACTGCTTAAACTTTTTTTTAAGACGGTGGTTATTGCCCTGCTAATTTCCTTTTTTTACTATGGCCAGTGAAGATAATTTCATTTTTTTTGAGAGATCAATAGAAAGCTTAAAGGGGGAAGCACCTCATGCTGCTCATCAAGATGATGCAGATCAGATTATTTCAAACCTTTATCTTATCTGAACTGTGACTCACTATGCAAACTTTCAGTGAAGGAAGTGTCAATGAGACAGATGAAAGGGGAAAAAAAATGCAACAAAAAACAACCCAAAACCACAAAAAGAGAGTCTCGACAGCAACCTCAGTTTTGTATAACATGAATTCCTAAATTATTTTTAATAAGCAAGTTTACCTTTCCAAGCACGTGCATGCCCTCTCACCTCCACCACTTTTCGACCACATATCTCAAAACCAAACTCAGGCCTCTTAACTGAAGTTGGTCTTTGCCTCCTCCCCCATTGCTTCCTGCATCTCCTGGGCCCCTACCCCCATTAGCTGTCACCCCCTATTCAGACCTAGGACCTCAGCTCCTGGTAGCGCTTTGAGCACTACTGCAAGTGTCAGAGTAGGTACATCACCATGATCATCTCCTCTCATGGAGTACCAGCTCTTTCATGAGCTCAGAAGAGGAAAGCCGGGAGCCAAGGTGGGGTCCTGTGGGCTGCATGGAAGGCACCTTGCCTGCCATTGCCCATGACAGCTGTGAACTAAGATTATTAGAAAATAGATACTTGTGGAATAGAATTATTAAGATCAATTTAAGCTGTTTTAATCATTTAACCATTGTGCTGCAGAACAAATACTAACCTTTAGAGGAATAGTTAGAATAGCTGTAGGATAAGGAACTCATAAATAATCTGACTTGAGGCAGTTCAGCCTTGTAGTATCAGGTGCAAAGAAACATAAAGATAAGGAAGCTGCAAATTAGCAACAAAACCAGACCAGGCCAGCCTTGGAGAACAAGATATACGTGACCACAGGACTGAGTTTGTGCAGAAGGGTCAGCTGGCAGACACTGTGAAGAAGACTGCAAGCCTTCATCTGAAGACCCCTGATGACCACCTGAAGACTCCAACAGACACGCGCAAGAGACATTAACATATGCTAATGACTTCACAGGGAAGTTATGAATATTATTAAAATATGATTAAAATGTAATGAATATGTATGATTAAGGTAGCATAAATGCTTGTTGATTTTGTCTTCACACACATACATTAGGAGGAGCTTTCCCTTGTGTGTCCGGCGCTGTAATAAAGAATGCCTGCTTTCTGAAACTCCAAAATTGAGTCTCAGAGAGTGAGTTAATTACCGCTTTCTGGTAACACCCAGCCCTACAGCAAGATGCAGTAGGATGCCTGCTTTGGGCCTAGCGAGGCAGCTGCAACCAGCAGTAATGATCTCTGAACATTTCCAAAAGTCTCCAAAAGTATGACCCTTCTGTTTCGAAAAACCAGTATGCCGCCATTTTGTGAAGGCGGGGAGGCCCGCGGTTTGAGTATCTATGAGAACTTGGTGCAAACCATCGCTCCCACCGGCTCTTTCTTCCCCCCTCAGCGCTACAAAACAAAGAGAAAACCCCACCACCCAACCAGCCCTGCCGCGCTCCGCCGGAGGCCCGCCCTGAGGCGGCGGTTACACCCCGCGGCGCGCCCGGCGCCGCCGAGGGGCAGTGCGCAGGCCGGGCGGCCATCCCGCGGCGGGGTTCTCCTCCCCGCGACGCCCAGCGCCGCCATGACGCACCGCCAGCCCGACCGCAGCCCTTACTACTTCTTCGTGCGCGACCAGCTGCCCGAGCTGCAGCGGCGCGGGCTGCCGCTGACCGGCGTGGTTGACGCCGTCCCTTACTGCTCCCAGGCGTGGGCGGTGAGGGAAAGGGGCCCTCGCCTCTCCGGGGGCGGGGAAAATGGCTCTTAATGGCAGGGAGGGCAGGGGGCCGTGGGCTACTGAGCGGCTCGTCTGCCTCTGGCCACCGGGGAAGCAGCACCCGTCGGGTGGGTCTGTGTGTGGCCCTTGGGCAGGTTGCATGGGGGCACACAATGTCAGCGTGGGCTTTATTGGAGAGCGAGCTAGCTGGTGTGTCAGCTGCTGTATATTTAGTCGCTCAAATGGGTATCCCGAGTGACCTCCGCTGCCTCTAGCAAAGAAGCAGAAGCTACAATGGCCTCCCCTCAGCTGTGTGGGGACAGCTCTGCCTTGTGTGCCAGGGGCAGTGGCATCCCTGGCTGGCAAGAGTAGTTTTGGAAGCCCTCTTGTTTGTGGTGGGGCAGTGCTAGTTTGCCCTCATCTGAAGATGCCTCAGAAGCGTGTGCTTGCTGGGTGTTTTGAACCAAAGCTGATGGCTTTGTTAGGGAGAAAGCTACTGGAAATGTTTGAATAAACGTTAGCGGTTGGAAGTTCTTGCCAAGCATTGATAATGTCCTTTGGAAATGCATAATTAATGTCTGACAAGGACTTTGTTGGTTTGTGAGACTGCTAGAAGGAAGCAGTAAAAACCTTTTTTTAACAATTTTCTTTCCTTCAAGTTGCTGACTAAGGAAGAAAAGACTATATATAAAGAGAAGGCTTATAAGTGGAATGAAAAGAAACACTCTCAGAAGGCAGTGGAAGAGGTAAATGCTGAGAAAGGAACACCCTTCAGAGTAGCTAAATAAGAGGGGGAGTGATGCTGGGGTTTGGTCAGCTGTGGTGCTATGGAGGATCACCTGGTCTCCATTGTCTCCAACCTCACTATGGCTGTTGTGGTAGTTTGTTCTGTTAGGAAGGTTATGCAGAAAATTGTTCTGGTTTGAATTGAAGGTGAGAATATGCTATACCGTTCTAAACCAGCACAGTTTGTTCCTTTGGGCTTTTTTTACCAAATGTAGTTCTCTAACATCTTAGTTTTATGTTTAACAATATTTTGCAATGACTGACAATGTTTTTATTTATAATACTGTAAATTTGTATGACTTCTGGTCGTTAGTTCATGTTGGGTTTGCTTTGTGGACATCCTTAATTTGGGTGGTTCTTGTCTGACTGCCTGAAACCATATCATCTATGCAGCTGACTTGGCATTTTTGAGTGGGAGTGTGGTGGACCAGGTCAGTGAAATGTTGCAACCTATGCACAAAAAGAGAAATTATACCTTGCCATTGTTTTTAGGTTGATTTGATTATGGAGAGAATGGTAATGCTATGGTGGAAGACAAAATTCCACAATGTAGAAGTAAGCAGTTAGGTTAAGCTCATGTGGTTGTGGTCAGAAATAGTGCTAAACAGATCCCTCTTACTATTGACTGTCTTGAAGAGGAGGGGGTGTCTTTTTTATTACTTTTTTTTTTTTCTCCCTTCTGCCTGTTTCCCAGCAGTTCCCTGAAGCCTAGTTTGCTTCAGAGTTTGAATTATGTGAGGTGTCAGAAAGCTTATTTTATTCCAGTCTTGGTTGGCAGTGTAAAAACTTGTGTTTTGAAAGCAGAGTCTGATTGAGTAAATGGATAATACATTGCAATTCCTTCTTTATCCCATATTTCTAGACACTGACTATGATCTATGAATTACCAGTGAGGTAGATTTTAGGACTTTAAAACGCATACACAACACTAAAGGGAATGACAGGATATTCATAGTTTGCAGTAACTAGTAAATCTGGATTGGTTAAATTAGTCAATCTAGACTAGTAGGGAGATGTTAGGCAATGTTTTCTGATTTGGAGAGCCTGCGTGTATGGGAAAGAGCTATTTAAAATGTGATTAACATTGTGTTACTTATCAGGCTACGGATATGTAGTTAATGAAGCTCCATTTTCATATATAATGGAGAGCTACCTGAAATGACTAATGAGTCATAAATGGAGTCTTCTTTATTTCCTTCCACAAGCAGTAGCATTTTAGAAAGCTGTAACTGGGGAAAGAAAGAATTCTTTTACAGAAATAAAGAACATAATATCTGTCAGTGGAAATGTGGGAATGTGCATGTATGAGATTGTATGTGATCTCATTTTATTAATCACACCCCTGTACACAGACAACCACAGTTACTTTGTGTAGTGAAAGGTCTTGATCATCTTTTGGAGATGACCTAAGCTTACTGGTATGGGACTAATTCCTGTACTCATTAATTTTATTTTACATAGTTCAAACTGATAATCAACAAACTTCTGCTAAGATGGTCGTCTGGAATTAGTATACCTAGATGTGGATGTTATTTCCAGTTTGGCTCTTGAATGATTGAATTCTGCAAGCCTGCCAGGTTTCTCTTTCTGTCCTCTTAAAAGCTTAATGTTTGTGCATGGATTTGCAATGTTTAATGGGCATATGCGCCTCTTAATTGCTCTGTGCTGGTGCAATCTGATGACTTCCTTGAGGCTTTATCAGCTTTTCATTAATTCATTTCCTAGTCAGAGGCAACTAGTGTGTGCCAAACTTTTCATAAAGTTTATGGAAGAAATTTTGAAATTCCAGTTTGAAAAATTCCTCACCTGTGACAAACGGTTGAACCTAACAAAATGATACAATTTTTTTTTTTTTAATTACATTTTGTACATTTAGTGATAGTTCTTTCCAGTTGTAGCGAGTTGACCAAGGTACTAAGATACCTATCGCTCTTTCTGTTAGAAATCTTGCCTTCCTGGTCTACAAGTACACAGGCACTTGTATATAAATTGCAGACTTGTTCCACATAACCATAACTGTTAGTGGACATTATATTTTCCACTGATATAAGGAGGTGAAGGACTTTATTGGGAGTTAGTAGACTCTCTTGATTTTTTTAACTTTCTCATCTTTTCCAGACACGTAATCTGGCTCAATCAGTTCCTGCTTGTCTGACCACGAAGATGCCTAGTGTTGCTTCTCTTCCAGATGCCTCTGCTATGTCTTGGAAGAATGATCAGGGTATAGTGATTGTAAAGCAATTGATCCTGGTAGATAAAAGCTTGCCCTCTATAGATATTCTCGATGGTACCTAAACAGAGGCTGTTTACATTTTGCTAATAGCCATCGGTGTTAACTGTGTTTTAAACTAATGGTATCCTGTTGTAAAAAGGTCTTTTGTAGTTTAGAGGGAAGTCGGTGAATGCAGATGTCCCTCATCCTTCTCCCCCGTCCCCCTTCCCCCCCCCCCCCAATAATTCTATCCTCTGTTTTTTAGATTGATGGGAATATAGCTACTAATAGTTTCTTTACAATTATTTAATGTCTTTTAAGAAGGTAATTCCTCAACTTGTACATTTATGATTTGCAACACCTAATCCAAGTTCAGTGTAAAAGAATGTTTGTACCAATTTTAAAGGACAAAGAGTTGTTAGATAACAAAGTTCAAAATTTGTATGGTAGAGGTGTTAAATAAGATGATGACCTGGCCTCTTTGGGAGAATAAAAGAGGGGATAGGTACTTTATCAGTGCTTTTATAACATCCTGGCTTACTTCCCGATTGAAAGAACTCCTGAAAACTAAACCTTTCTTATCTGTACCCCCTCTTCAAATGGGTGTTTTAATTAGAATTGAGTAATGAACGTATCTGTAATCTTTTCCCCAGTGAATATTACATTATTCTGAAAAATGATAAATGGTAGTGCTTACAAGATAAGTCAAGCGGCCAATTAATACAGGCTGTATCTACTGTGTGCTTAAGTCTCAGCTCAAGCCTTTTACCTAACAAGTCTTGAACTATTTTCTTATCATGGTTATGAAGGGGCAGGAAAAAGCAGCTCCATATAAAGTGTAATACCTGTTAGTGTCCCCTCTGCCAGAGGTCATGCTTTTCTGTAATTGTAATGCAAATTTGATCAACTTTATCAAGGTGGCTTGAGCTGACACAATTGATCTTTAAACCAAATGAGAGGGATTACGACAAAAGATACCTGAGATGCATTTTATGATGCTGCTCCTTAATATTTATCCATAAAAGTCCTGTATGGATCCCTGTAGCTATACTCATTTTTTCATAAGGCTAGCAGCTTAAACTCAGGTAGGAGAGGTATCTTTCCTATGACCCCACAGCTTGTAGAGTTTAAGACCTGTGTGAGAAAGTACCAGCATTCAAGCTTAGTATAACTGGTGTTAAATGCCACAAAGTCTGGCATACAGCATTGTTTCTGTGTAACAACAGTTATACATCTCTACTGTTTAGTAGAACAAGTAGGATTTTTTGATGGGGGCAGAATTTAAGGGTAAGGATTAAATAGTTACCTTAACCTTCAGTAAGAACATTATGTGACGTTCATGAAGAGAAGGATTAAGGTGTATTGTGAAATGTTTTTCATAGTTGAATACTTTTTAAATTAGTAAACGATAGATTTATTTCTTAACATTTGCCTTGGATGTTCTTGCTGCCTTCTTTGGGAGCTCATTTAGCAGAGGAGAAACAGTTCTTTTAATTAGCAGACTTCTCATCTCCTTTTACCCCAGAAGATTATTACCAGCTCATTTAACTTGTGTATGTTACTGAATTGAGCTTATGAGGCTGCTTTGCAGTTACTATTTTTTTTTTCCTAAAGGGTGAAGAAAGCTATCGTAAAAAGAAATAGTAGTTCCTGTTGGATTCAAGGCCTCTTAACATTCTTGTGGGTTTGGGGGTTTGACTTTTTTATTTTTCTAAATTACTTGTATTTTGGGGCTGTTTTGCCCTGATCTCTATACACAGTAGCATCTGTGGAAGGTGTACCAGGACTGGTGATATGCCCAACTCTTACATAATTATTAGTTACCTTGTCATCTCAGACACAGAGAAAGATCTGTGTGTTTTACTTGGTCATTACCTTACTTTATTCACTCATATGATACAGTGCACCGCAGCTTTCACTGGATGAGGTGAGGCCAGGATAGTTTGCTGTAATCTGTGGTGGCTCTTTGGAAAATACTCTTTTTTTTTTTTTTTTTTTTTTTTTCTTTCAGCTGTGATTGCAGACATTTTCTACTTCCTGAACATTTACAGCCATGGCAAGCTGCCATCCCACTGTGAACAGCGCTTCCTTCCTTGCGAGATTGGGTGTGTCAAGTACTCCCTACAGGATGGCATAATGGCTGAGTTCCATCGCTTCATAGATCCAGGTGAGCTCCAAGCAAGAGAGATGAGAAGTAGTTCATCTTGCTTTGGGGTGAGAGGGAGGCTTTCTAGTGTCACTGCTGCCTAGATTAGATTTCTAGTATTAAGACAGGTTAATTTCTTTGACTATAAGTGGTTGGACTTCTTAAAATATCAGAGCAGTGCTGATTGTTTCTGTAGAAATGTGCTTAAGCGTCAGAACTGCAGGAGGAAATCCAGAAAGGACCTTCAGATGTTTGTGCTTTATATTTCATGCCAGCATCTGTTTAATGAATGTTTGTCTTGATTGGACCTAAACACACACACACACTGTACAATATACTTTGTTTTTTAAAATGCATATAACTGAAAATAACTTTTTCAAAAATAGTTGTGGCACTTGTACAAGGCCACAAGAGAAGATGAAGCTGTTCCTTTCTGTACATGAAACTATGATGTATAGTTGAGAGTTAAGATCTGTCATTGTGGATGTTGGATGATGACTGTTCTTTTTCTCCTGTCTCCCCTGCCCTTCTTGCAGAAGTACCACCACGTGGTTTTCGGTACCACTGCCAGGCTGCTAGTGAGTATCAGTGGAGAAAAGGGATGGTGTGCAAGGGTGTACAGATTTAGACTCAGCTTATCTGATGTTTAGCCAAATGTTTTGTGAGTCTGCAGTTTCTCCTTATGAGAACTTGTCAAGTTTTGACTACAAAGGGGTGACAGCACAGCTTGTTGCAGTAACCTCTTGTATGTTTCTTGTACCCACAAATGGCAGAGCACTTCACCCAAAATGGTTTTGTCAATGGCAGAGTGTTCAGTCTTCCTATTTTAATTCAGTAATAACTGCAGTATGTTCTTCTTAAATGGGACAACTTTGTATAGCTTTAAATGCTTTCAAGCCCATCTGAACAGAGTGTCCTTCCCTTGATAGTCCTTGTGTGTATCTGCAGCATGAAGTGCTAAGATACTAGTTTGTATTTAAAAGTTGTAAGTATTTTGCAGCTTTACGTATATGGACAAAGTTCAAGTATTTATACCGTTGTTGTGTCTGGCTTGGCCTGCCTCCTTTACCTTGTAACTCTTAAGCAGTGTTTATAGATTGCAGTTTGTTTCAATTAGGACACTTCCTTCCCTTGTGTATGAGGGAACAAACTTGGCCCATGTTTTCCTTTGTCAAACACTTAGATAATGGCCTTTTAAAAGGGGTAAATCTGTGTGTGTGTGCTCATGGCCAAGACCCACCAGTCTTCTGGTAACGGAAGCAAGATTTTGGTAGCTTAATCACAGACACTGTATGTAGACAACAGGAGATGTGTGTGTTTGTGTGTATAAATACATGTATATAAAAAGATACAAAGGAGGGGAGAGCTGTATCATTTAAGGAAACAGGACTTCTCATAACTTTTTTGTTTTTTTTCCTGCCCCCACCACCCCGGCTTCATTAGGTGATGCCACTCATAAGATCCCTATATCTGGATTTCATCTTTCACGTAGTGGCTATGCAGTTGTCTTACAGGAACTTCTTGAGTTTGTCCAGCCAGCCAGAGGCGTCTGTCCTCTCTTCTACTGCAGGGTATGATCAAGGTCAAAGTAAGATGCTCTAAATCAAAACCTCTGATTTCACTTCTGTTGGATGATTAAGGAGATACTTCACTCTAAAACCTAATGAGTGGGAAAAGACACTTTTTTCCAAAGTTTCCCAGTTCCATGCAGGAAGAAATGGCCTCTAGAATCTAACCTTCCTATAAAGCAGAGACCTAATTTTCTGCCTTACTTTCAGCCTGCACTTGAGTCTACTGATGAACATTTCATTTGGTCTCTGACATTGTTTTGAATTAGGCTAAGGGCTTTTAAGACTGACTTGAATTGATTGTTCTGAATAAAAGTCACACAATCCTGCTTTACAAAGGGATGTTTTTATGGTTTCATGACTCTTTCCCCATGAGAGTACCATACATCTGAATTTTTGCTCAAGTTTCATTTGCCAGTGAGCAAAACAAAATGTTAGGATTCGAGGCATTTAAGCTTCATGACAGCTACAAGCTTAATGATAATCCTTAAAAAGGTGGGGAGGGTCAAGATCTTGGGCTCCATCTGTAAATACAGGGCTCTGAAAAAAAACACATGAAAAAAGTATCTCAGAGCACTTAATGGAGATAGGTGTAGTATGGGTTGACCTTTAACCTGTCCTCAAACATTAGTCCAGACGTTCTCCTGGGGTTTGGTTGGAAGGCCTCTGTGGCATTTGGTCCCTCTGCAAGATAATTTTCAAGCAGTCGTTCAGTCCCACAAACATGCAGTTGTGTTTGAGGTGACTTTTTCAGATGTAGTCAGAAGACTTGCAGATGTCAGAATTACATACTGTACTTCTCCAATGTGACTGAAATTTTCTTTCCTCTAGTCTAATGACAGATTCCGAATTAACTGGTGTCTCAGTCGAATGGCTAGCGTAACAGGTGGGAAACGGATCGTGCTTCTTCCTCTTTTCTGCCCAATCAGTGACAGTAAACCAGCAGCCTGGTCAGCTAACTCACTAGTGAGCACATCTGTAGAATAACATGCTGTTTCTTGCTCAGCCAGTTAAAGGAGCACTAGAGGTGGTGAGATGACTCTGAGGGTGAACATGTGGTAACACATGGGAAGACTATCAGCTGCTGAGGAGAGATGGCCCGCGAGTAGGTCATGTAATTACTGAGGTGGAGAAAATGATGGGAATATAGGATGACCCACTTGCTAGGAAGCCAGGTTTTATTAAAACCACTGGTGGAATGACTTGTTAAGGTTTACAAGAGCTTTGATGCTCTGGTAAGAGGCTGGGCAACAAACAGGGACTGACTGAGAAGTGAGCTGTGCAGAATTATTCACTGACTCTTGTTCTTCTGACCTGGATTTTCTCTGAGCTACAGGCATTGAGAGCCATCTGGAGCTCCTTGCTGTAGAAGACCTGGTAGTAGAACTGTACCGGAAGAAATACCAAAAGGAGCCATCCAAGACTTGGGTGTGTAGAGAATTGGATGTCTTCCTGTGGGATTTCTCCAGTAATACCAGGTATGTTGGGTTCTTCTTTGTGGAAACAGGTATTAGCCTGATATGTCGTGCTTCACATACAGCTTGTATGCTTCTAGGCTAGAATGTTCTGTAAGTCTTACAATCAGAAGTGCTTTTTGTCACATCATGAATACAAATTAAAATGAAAAATACTTTTCTAAAAGAAGTGTAAAGATAGATGGCTTTTTAATGCAGAGTCAGAGGCCTGATGTAAAGGAGAGGTAGAAAATGGGAGTAAAATATATTGTGGTATTTAACTGGAAATCATAGAAGTGAGAAGATTCAGACTTTCAAGAAAGTGTAATTTGAATGGGACCTGGCTGTTGCTATACATCAAATGCCTCATGCTGCTGCTGTGATGATGGACAAGGTATATTTGCCAGTGGTATAAATCAAGTTCTCAAGCATAAGCGTTAAGCTGGATCCTGTCTTTTTCTTCCAGAATGAATGATTTTTATTACACATCCAGAATCGTATTTACTTTGTAGGATTTTTTTTTTTATTTTTTTTTTTTTTTTTACTCCCCTACATGTCTTGAACAGTTAAGCTTTTCCTGCTTTCGCATTCTTCCATATTTGTACAAAGTAGTGGTCACTACAAGCTACATACCAGTAGAATATTTAATGACACAATGACTTTAACTTTTCCTCTGCCACTGTTTTAAGTAAGAACCAATAATTTGATAGTAAATTTTAGTAGATTAAAAAAAAAAAAAAAACAAAAAACAAAAAAACAAACAACCAACCAAAAAAAAAACAAACCCAAAACAACCTTGAAAGTGCTTACAGTATGGATTTTAAGATCCATTAGAATAATCAGTGTCACTTTATCTTTTTTTTTATAGTCAGGCAGTTTTCCCTTTCTATGAGTATCTTCACACTAGAGGGAGATCTTAACAAGAATGGAAAAATGTACTTTAAAATACACATTTGGGGACGAAGGTGGGGATGCTTATACTGAGAAGAACTATTTCATGTTAATGGAAAGCTTCAAACTGTTATCTTTTAAATTCCATTTGTGTCTCAGGATTCTCTTTTGCTCTTCCCCCCACCTCAGCATGAAGCAGGTTGCCTGTTAAGCATGCCTTTTAACTCAGCGTAAACTACTTAGAAGTTAGTTTTCAAATGCTGGTCCTCTGAAATTTTAAAGGTACTCTATGATTGCTGAGACAAAAAGATAGCATATTTAATATTTGTTCCTGTTCCTTCTGACCAGACCAACTATTCATGTTAATTAACAATGTAGATGCTTCTGAAATAAGCCTGAACTTCATTTCTTTTGTAGGTGCAAGTGGCATGAAGAGAATGATATAATCTGCTGTGCTTTAGCCTCCTGTAAGAAAATTGCGTGAGTATTGCTAAGGAGTTCTCTCCAGTATGATGACTTTTTGTTTTGTTAGAGATGCATGTTTTTGCCTCTGGCTTCTGTGACTGCCTGAGGCACTGTAGTTCTAGATTTTGAGTTTTATTTATTCCCTCTATCCCCAAGATTTTGTTCTCTGTAACTTTCATTGTTGTTTGTATGGCTTAGCAGTATGCTCTAAGTCTTGTCACTTAGATGTAATGTCCATCACTCTGTAGTCATCCTTTCACTACCTGTGCTTACTATTGGAAAGTTGAGAGAAGTATTATTTACATTAGCATTCGCTGTTTTTCTTCAGAGGTTTAGTATACCTGTATTTGAGAAATTCGCATTATATTCTAGTATATCTCTACTTCGGAAACTTTTATACTGCCCTACATATAATGTAGGTACATACGTTCTGTAAGCTTTTTGGTGTGGGAGAAGGGAAAGTAAATATTTGGAAAACAAGGAAATGCCATTTAAGATCTCAGTCAGTAATAGTAGCACTTTGAGAGAGATAATAATGAGTAATTTTTCATTCAAAAAATTCTTATGTGCTGCTATGCCTTGCAAAAAAAATGTTGCTTTTTATGCTTCTAAGTGGCTGCATTTGATAGTGTGGGGAAGCAGTTGTTTTAATTTCACGTGTAGTTGTAGAAGAGGCTGGTGGTCTTGGAAGGATGCAGGGTAACTATTTAGCTGCTGCAGTGATGTCCTTCTGCCTTCTGTCATTTGCTCTGTCCATCTCAGTCTGTGGTTGCTTTTGTTGCCAGTTGAAGAACTAAAAATGCTGTTCTTCTGTACATCAACATTACAGCCCTCTTAGCCAAACTTTTCCTGTTTTCTTTTTTCTTGGTCAAGTTATTGCATCAGTAAGTCTTTAGCTAGTGTGTATGGAGTCTCACTGACAGCAGCTCACCTTCCTCTTCAAGACTCTGATTATGGTGAAAGCACAAATACCAAGATGGTGGTACTGGATGCTGGACGTTTTCAGGTCAGACTCTTTAAACTAATATCCTGGTTTATTTTTAGTTAACTTGAGTGTTCAAACTGGCCAATTTCAGATTAGCTATTTTCTTGTTAGATGCTGTCTTTTGAGACATGTATTGGACAGACTGGTGAAAGAAAAATAATCACTAGCTGGGTCATTTCACATGATTTTTTTTATTTACCATAATTCGTAGATTTCATAGATAGCTGTGCATACTGCATTTTAGAAGACACATATATTATTTTGAATGTTTATTTCTTCATACAGAAAATGAAGGCTCAGGGTTCTGGATGTGACAGACATTTCACTTCTCCAAGTCAGGATCAAGAGCTTGTCCCTTCTAATTGTGAGTTTGAAACTTCCACATTTGTAAGGGGAAAGAGGTATTTGAACTTTATCCAATTGCTGCTTTTTCAAATTTCTGGGCTTAGATGTTGCCTGTCAGTGGCATAAAGCTTAAAGAGCTTTGCAGGAGCTGCACTTACTCCTGCATATGGATTTCACTGAATTTCTGAAGGCTTAAACATAAAGGGCTATCCTTTTCTTACTGGATGCAATCTTATGGTCAAAAAGGTCTCTCAAAATCTAGTTCTTCATATAAATGTTGCTCTCTGATTTATACCCCCTTATTTTTCAGCTACATGGAGTCTGTTCTCGTATGCTTAGGTACTCTGAGTCAAGGCCGTCTTTAAAATACTCTCCTTGCTCTTAAGTCATCATATGTGCAGACTCACCTGGTACGGGTTGCAAGTATTCTGCTATAGTGCAGTTTATAAAGACTGCTCATTTAAAGTCTTCTGGGACATGAATTTTTTTGAATAGAAGGGATGTGATCTCAGTGCATCTGGTCAGTTCATGGCTAATCTTCAGAGGAACAGAATCAAGTTTGCAAGATAAGTAACTGTAAGAATTCTGAGTGTGCAGCTTAGTTTCTTGCATATGAAGTATTCGCCGAATTAAACCCTGAAACTGTTCCAATTATAAAGCATGAGATCTTATGGTCTTCGTGTTTATAGAGGACATAACCCCTGTCTCTGACTTTTTGTATTAGAGCTGTTGAGTAGGTTTAGCTCCACAGCATATGAAGAACAATTCCGTTAATTTATTCAAGCTTTAAAGGATGATTTGATTTGCAAACTGTATTTAAATTAATAGGTGATTCTCGATGTGGTGTGAAGACTTCCCTTTATGGAACAAGTACCATGCGAGGAAGAGGAATTACTCGATTGCTGGAAAGTGCATCTGATCTATCCAAGTCTTTCAGTAATTGAATTTTTTTTTTTTTTTTTTTTTTTTTTTACATCCAGGACAGCTGTAAATTCTAATTGTTTCCCTAAAATAACCAGCAGTTTCTCCAGACTGCAATTCTCCATCTTATGTGCAACCCTCCACAGTTCAAATTCTTCTTAGAATGATAAAACTATTGACTGGATTTAAAGAAGATGAAAATCTTGTTTATTATCTACAGGAAGGCTTATTTTGAAGGGACCTGACGGTTGCATCCTCTCTTTAAATACATGCCATACTAATTCTGCTTCCTAATGGATGGAGTGCAAATTCAAGATCTGTTAGTCAATATCATTGGATTAGAGGAATTCTTTAGTGGCCAATGTGACTTCAAACAAGTGCTTTTTTCTTTAATAACTTCCTTCTCTTCTGCATGTGGAAGATAAAATTTCAGTGTAGAACACCCTTTCATCAAAAAATGATGGGGGGAGGGGGAAAATCACTGAAGGTATGAAGGGCTGCACTAGGAGAATTAAAGGTATAACAGTCTTGAAGGTTTGCTATGAATTTGTAGTTCTAGCCATGAAGAATTTGAGTTGTCATTCAAGGCAAAAAAGCAGAGTTTCTATGGAATGTCTTGGAAGAAATGTGGTAAATTTATTCATCTATTAGTGTTCTTGTAGAGGCACAGACTATATACATGAGGAACAAGTACAACATAGATATTTTTCTAATTTGCATCAGTTTTCTGTTTAAAAAAATTGCACGTCCCTCAGACTTACAGACTTAAGAGTGTAGGTGTTACGTGTTTTTTTGAAAGGAATATAAAATTCAAACATAAATTAATCTGCAAATAGAATTTCACAAGTTTAGTCAGGCTGAGTAGACACCAGTCATAATTATTTGAGGGCAAACAAGTAAAAACTGTGAGACTGTCTGATGTGTCACTAGGAAGTTAGATGTTCTGTTTTATGGAGGTACAAGTCTTGGACTTGTCCCCAGAAAGTTGTCTTTTGTCTGAGCCTCATCCTTAGTCCATATGTCTTTAAGCAACTGGTTCTTAGAAATAAGAGCTTATTTGTTTGAGTTGTTTCTATGTTTTGTTTCAGCAGAGGTCCAGTTGTGAAATACTATTTCCATAGCAACTAACTGTGAGAAGATACTTATTTCATTCCTTGTAGGAACTGAAACTCAAAATTAGGCAGTTCATTCTTTTGGGTAATAGGGGGGGAAAAAAAAAGCCAAACCAACCAACCAACCAAACCCATAAACCCAGCCAAAATAAGAGGTCAACATATCTATGAATAAACTTGAGCATTCTAATCAGGATGTGTGTCAAAAAGGCCAATTGCTGGTTTAGTTGGAAATCTGTTACAGTTGCTGAAAGGCCAGTTGAGGCCCTTGTTCCAGTATTGCAGGATCACTGAACCATTTTTCATGCATCTTACCTAATAGTTTGTTTATATCACTGAATTTTCTGGAATTATTCTGTATTTCCTTACTTTGAAGATGTTGTTCTACCTGTTAAATATCACCTGATAAGAGACCTCTGAGACTGAGATTTACCAATGAAGCATCTGCGAATGTTATAACAGAGTAAGAGTGTATCCATTTAGTAGTGGTAAAGGCTTTTCTGCATTGGAATAGAGTTGTTCAAGTTTTTAATGTCTTAACTGACAGCCATTGCTGCATTGGCCTTTCAAAACATACAGAACTGTACTCTTTTTGAATTCTTTTCAGAGGTCAGTGTTGCAATAAAAGTTTCATGTTTCAGTTCTTAGGAAGAAGAGAATTCATTGTTGTTTATTCCAAATCAGTGTAAGTACACAAATAAGAGCATTTGATACTATGCTTAAGGTATTATATATCTTCAAGACTGAGATAAAGAATCTGAGCAGAAATGGAGAAATACAGAGTAAGAGTTCCATGGCATGTCTTCTATCTTATCACTTGTAACTTAAAATAGTCCATAAGCTGTAGAAGACCTTGTTATATGCTGTAGGCAGTGAGCGGTTGACTAGGGCAGTAACTGTCTTACTGTAATAACCAACAACTTGTGGTGTTTTTTGTAGTGAAAACTATAAGATCTGTATAATGGGAATGAATACACTGATTTGATGTAGCCCATTTAATACTATTATTCTGCATACATTGAGGGGGATCCCTAACAGCTGTTGGAGGATTATAGAAAAATCCTTTAATTTTGGAGTTTTGCTTCCCTGGCTGTTTTGCAATTTGAAACAGCTTGATTTATTAAAAAATAAATTCTGTGTAATAAGCACAAGACAGGAATGCTTCTCTCCTTTAATAGAAAAGTAAAGATGAGGAAAAGATGGTGACTTACAGCCTTAGCACACTTCTTAAGTGCAAGGAATAGTACTGGTAAGGCACAGCAAACTGTGGGTCAAAATCAGAACAAAATGCTTCCCACTTAAATGACGGAATTCTTAAGAGGAAATGAAAACAAGTGAAGGTAGAATGGCTCTTGAGCAGAGTTTGAGTAATGCAGCCTGGGAGCTTTAAACATGTACTTTCCCTGTGGTAAAAAGTAACTTAATACCCTCTGTGTATAGGTACCATACAAATTGAACTGTCTTAAGCGTTGGTTTTGTAAAGGAGACATCTAACAGATTCTGTCAGACTTGACCTTCTGTACTCCTATTAGTGTAGCTTAATTAGTCCTGTGACAATAATGAGTAAAAGTCATCCTGGTTTTGCATACGTGTTGGAAAGTGAATAGGTATTTTTGTTCTTGTTACATGAATAGTAGATGAGTTGTTGAATTGTGTGTTACTACTCCACTATAAAGGTTTTGGCTAGGAGAAGAGTTGTCTGAGGGTCATGAAAATGCAATGGACTGTGGTGGCAACTTTGATCTAGTCTATGACATCAATATATTAATCTGTAATCACATATTCTCTTATGTTCTATTCAAAGAGTATATAACTGATACTGAAAAATAAAGCATGTTCATATAGAATAAGCAGCAGTTACTGCTTCTGTGTAGTAGAAACTGTGAATTTGACTGTTACTTGTGCGTTTCTGGCTGGTCCACCTTCTTCTTCCAGTAAACTGTAGAAACTTAAGTATGCAGAAGTTCCTATTGACCACTGTCTCTGCTCCAGGTAAGAATATTCTTATCGGTACTTTGTATTCTCATTTAGCAGAAATGTTTGCTTAGATATATACATATATACTGTAGATACAGTAATACCTGGTTTTGATGCCTTTAATTTGAAATTTAAAGGCAGATCTTACTGGTAAAGATCAAGGCAAAGAAGGCATCCAGTCCCTCGACCTTCTCTTTGTCCTTTGTGGCCGACTCCCATTCCCATTGAGATGCACCCACGGAAGTTGTTCTTGTTGCTGTTCATGTGCTTCGCCACATTTAGCTTTGGGTGGGCTTTGGCTTTTCTAACCCCATACTTGCACATTTACACAGCATCCTGTATTTCTCCCAAATCACTTGTCCCTGCTGCTACCTCCTGTATTTTTTGTTTTTATGTCTGTCTTTTGTCAGGAGCTCTTTGGTCAACCTCTGCTTGTTTTCCTGTTTATCTTGGAGGAGGTGACACTTGAAAAAAATCAGCAGGCTTGACTGGACCTCTCTTCAGGACCATATGCCAGGGGATTCTTCCAAACAGATCTCTGAACAAGGCCAAAGACTGCTTACCTGATATCCACGGTTGTGATCCTTCTTGCATTTTGTCTTCCTCTCAGGATCCCAAACTCCACTATCTCATTCATGGTTACTGAAGCCAAGTTTGCCTTGCAGCCTTCACATCTCTGACTAGTTATTTCTTGTTTGTAAGTATGAGGTCCAGCAGAGAGCACCTCCCCTCCTTGGCTCTTCAGTCACTTGTATCAGGAGTATCAGGTGGCTTCCAGTTGTCTGGAGACCTCCTGGTAAGGCTGTCTATGGTAGACATCTGGTAGAATGTCACCCATGTTGGTCTGCCCTCTGTGTCTAACCCATGAGCTCCTGACTGGCTCATTGTCCATCCCCAGGCAGAGCTCTCTGCATCCCAGCTGCTCTCACAAAAAGAGCAACTCTTCCTTCTCACCTCCCAAGTGTGGAAAAACAAACTGGACAGTCAGTGATGTGTGGGAAGGGAAGCCTAGTAACCTCTTTACTCCTGAGGCTCAACAGTTGTGCCAGTTTCAGGATCTGCATTATAACTAGTTAAGTCATCACAGAGTATTTGCTGTGTCTAAAATGAATCTTTATTTCATCTTTAGCAATATGTCAGTCATCAAAGACATAAAAGAGAAGGAAAGCAGTATTTTGGCAGGGATTTTCTGGGTGAAGGGTCTGTCAAATATTAGATGTTGGATTTTGCTGTTCAGGTGCTTGTCAAACTGGAGGAAGCAGTTCTGTGGTCCTTGATCAAATAGCATGGTTGATACTCATTCTGCTGGGGGTGTGCTTTGCCAGCTACCTACAGTGAGGTCCATGCTGAATCATACCCAAATAGTAAACTTGCTTCCATTTCAGGGACTCTGGGTCTTGAGCCATCATAGTCAGATGGTGTTGTGTTGAAGGTCACATTCTTCCAAATAAAAATGTGTTGGGTGAATTAAAACCTTTTTTTGACGAAGCTCTGTCTGGATTATCTTGCAAAATAGCTGCAGTTTTCTGTTCCCGATATATTTTAAAAACCCTGCATAATTAACACAGAGAGACTGTGCTTTTTGACCTGTTAGTTGAATTAAAAAGTACTAATCCTTTCCCCTAGCAAGAATAGATAGAGGTGTATGCAGCTGACTGCAAAGGCTTTAAGAATATCTTTCCATTTGTCAGAGGAAATGCACTGTAGTGGGGCAGGGGAATAACAAGTTTGTTCTCTGGTTTCTGCCCTTGATGTGTTCTGTAGGATTATCATCCCTTACTTTCACCTTGAAATGAGCTGCCAATTTTTATTGCAATGATTCAGTAAAAAGAAATCTGCAAACACGTCCATTAGTCTAAGCCTATATTAGCTCTGTTCCCTCACTTTTCCTTGGTTCTGTCTTAGAAGCTCCCACTGTTTTCAAATCATTCCCTTCGCTCCCTAGTGAACAGGTAAAATGCAGGAGAGAGAAGTTCCAAAATCCCTTATGTTGGGCTATAATAAATTTAGTACTGGATCTAACGCATCCAGAATTAATCTTGGCAGTTTGCTCATCATACTGTGAACTTCTTCAGATAGAAGACTGCCTTGGTGTCTTTCCTGGAACAGATGATACAAATAAATAGAAAAGTAGTGCTGTTACTCTAGCAACAAGAATTGTGAGATAATTAACTCTTGTCTGTCTGGTCAGTTCTGAATTGTGCACTATACTGAATCTTGAAGTAAACAGTGTCAGCACCAGCTTTTGTGCCTCTAATACAGGAAATACTTCTCAAAATCCTGAGAAGAGTGAGGAAGGCAGTGAGAGCAGACTTTGGGGGTTATAAGGGGAAAGGGTTAGGGGTGGAATCCCTGGGGGGCAGATCTGGAGAATAAAGGAGTTCATTAGTGTTGGGAGTTGATGAAGAACAGTGTCTTACAAATGCAAGAACAGCCCAGGAATACAGGTAGATCAATCAGGGGACTATCTTGTCTTTACAGGGAATTCATGGCTGCACCTAGTCCTAGTGCAGTATAAGAGAGGTAGAAGCAGGTTGGGGTTACAGAAGAAGAATCCACGAACACTGGCCAGGGTTGCAAGGGATCAAGGCCAACAAGAAATGCTTTTGTGACTTTGTTAGCAGCAAAAGACTGAACAAGGAAAAAGTAGTCCTGTTGCTGAATGGTGTGAGTGATTTAGTAACATAGCTGGAGTAACACAGATAAGGCTGAGGTACTCAGTACCTTCTTTATTTCAGGCTTTTCTAAGAAGGTATCTCAGATCTCTATACTCAGAAAGGGTTCAGGGAGGAGAACACCAGCAGTGGGTGAAGAAGTAAGTTGGGGATCAGTTGGGAGTTCTAGACCCATACAAATCCATAGAGGTAGATGGGCTGCATCTGAGGATGCTGAGAAAGCTGCCTGATACCTTTGCAAGGTTGTTCTCTCATCTTCGAAAGGCCATAGAGAGCACAGAAAGTCCACAGCAGTGAAAGGCAAAAATTGTACCCATCTGTCAGAATGATCATCTAGGAAACTGTAGGCTGCTCAGCTCCACTGGACTCCTTGGAAAAAATCATGGAGCGAGTCTTGGAACACGTTTTGGGGTATATGGAGAGACAGGAAGTAGTCGGCATGGATTTGCCAAGGCTAATGGCATGCCTGACCAGCCTGGTTGCATTCCATGATAGGTTTGTGAATAAAGGGGAAACAGTCAGTAGTGACTTTAGCAAGGCTTTCAGTACAGTTTCTCACAATATGCTTGTATCCTTGGGATGTTACAGGCTGGATGGGTGGACAACCAGATGGGTAGACATGTGGTCGTACTCTATGTGAAGGCCAGTAACAAGTGGGGTACTGGAGAATTCCATACTATAGCTTGTTTAGTATCTTCAGCAGTGATCTGGAGGTGGAGTGCACTCTTGCCTGCAGAAAACACCAAATTTGGGAGACCAGCTGATATGCTTGAGAGCAGGACTGTTATACAGAGGGACCTAAACAGGCTGGAGGAGAAGGCTAAGAGGAACCTTATGAAATGCAGTGAAGTCTTGTACCTAGGAAGGAAGAACCCTTTGCAACAGTACAGCCAGGACTGGCAGGAGAGCAGCTTTGCCAAGAAGAAAGCCTAAATCTAAGAAGAGCACAAAACCAAAAAAAGGAAATTTGGAAGGAGAAATAGGAACCAGAGTGTTGATGAGAATATTTGCCTTGCAGGGTATATCATATAATTGTGAATCCTGACTTCTTATCTCCATGCTTCTCCTGCATTGTGGTGATCTGCTTCCAGTCACGTCATTTAACTTTTGTCACATCACTCTGTCACTCATAAATGGTAGTGATTTGCTTGCACCATTCATTAGACCTGTTAGTTCCTTGAAGGAAAAGTGCCTAGCTAGAAGTAAGTCTTAAATGCTGACTGATACTAGGAACAAATAATATTTTTTTCCCCAGTAAGTCAGATAGTATATTGCCTTCAGAATGTTACAAGCAAGTAAAAGCACTAATGTGAATGGAAACAAAGCTGGAAAGTGAAGGAGCAGTGTACTGGGGAGATGTTCCTCCCCTTTAAACACAAGAGGGAACTGTGGTATAATCCTCGTAATTGCTTTGAGCAGTGCCAGGTGAGCCAGTTTTTCAAATTGCATGCAAGATTTTCATCTTGCCTATTCTTCATTGGGTTGCTAGAATGTCATGGTTTGAGGTAAGAGGGCAACTGAGCACCACACAGCTGCTCACTCCCTTTTTCCCCCCCCCAGTGCTGGGAAGGAGAAAATAAAGTGTGAGGCTTGGGAATCCAGCCAAGGACAGGGAGGGATGACTCACCCCCTATGGTAACGGGCAAAAGTCTCCTTAGGGGAAGAAAAAATAACATAGCTTTAATTCAGAAACTAACAACAACACTTATCAGACAGGGTAGGACAGTGAGAAGCATTACCACATCTGAAAAACACCTTTACCCCTTCTTCCAAGGTTCAGTGTAGCTCCTGACTTCTCTACCTCTTCCCCACCACTGGTGCAGAGGGCAGGGAATGGGGGGTGCAGTCAGTGCTGCCTCTTCTTTCTACTTGGGGGGGAGCAGGAAAGAACAATTCGCATTCTTCCCCTACCTTAGTTGGATTCCCTGCTCAAAGGAGACTGTCTCCCACAAACTTTATCCAACATGAATGTGTCCCCCCCTGCCACGGCCTGCAGCATTTCCTGTGATGTTCTGGCATGGCATGCCCCTGCGTGTTGCAGTCCTCCCAGTGCCAACCTACAGCAGAGGGGGCTTCCTCCCTCAGAGTCCCAGCCTTCTTCAGTTTCAGTCACCTGGTCCAGCCCCAGGCCCTTCGCAGGGTGCAGGTGGGCATCTGCTCCACCATGGACCTCTGTGGGTGGTAGGGGGGCAGTCCTGCCATCTCACCACAGGATACAGGGGGGTCTCTGCTCTGGTGTACCTACCCCCCCTTTCCTACCTACTCCTTTTTCCCAGTCCCACTGACCTCGGTGATCACATAGGTGACTTCCTCACAGCTCACTCCTCTTCCCAGGTCCCTTCTTAATTGCGCTGTCGCAGAGGTGCAGCTGATTGGTTCGGCTTTGGTGCAGAGGTGGAGCTGACTTGGAGCCGGGGAGCTTTGAGAAGCTTCTCACAGGGGGCCGTCCCTATAGCCCCCCTCCCCTGCCACCAAAAACCTCACCACTCACTCAAACGCAGCACATAAACTGGTGAAGTAAACTTCTTTGTTTCCTTCACATGCTTCATTATAGAGTGAATGGCCTGTTGCAGGTTACTGAAGTAGGGTCAGAAGAAAAAAAATGGTAATTTTTAAATATCCTCTTGGTATGCTTGCTAAAACAAATCTTGCTAAGTAATGATGTATCAGTCTTACAGTGGTGATTGCTTTACTTGGGGTAACAGATCTCATCAGTCCTGCGGATGGGGAAAATGGTTTGGTGAGGGCTTAAATCCTTGTGTTTTAGTTTTTCCCGTTCATGCACAGATAAAGCTTATGTGTGCATATTCTTCCATGTGAAAGTTGAACACAGCTAAACACTAATTTACTCTAGGCTGGGTAAAGGATAAAGTAGGAATTTACTTTTCTGCCTGGTTATTAATTTTCTGCCTATTTCTTGCCTTTGAGGGGAGTATTGAAGTTGGGTATGCATACATTAATTCTTTGGAATTATGTAAGTTTTGCTAGTTTTTCCTATCTTTCCCCCAAGTACATTAGCATGTCTTTAATTTTGTTTAAAGTTGTGGGTATACTACAGGCTCTTGGAGTTACTTCTGCCTCAAAATACATACAAGACACACAAGTTATTAATTCAATCACAGGAAAACCTTGGTGTAAGATAGCAATTTGAATATGTGCACTTCTGGCTGACCGAGTTTAACAAATCAGTTGAGGAAAAACACATGTAGCATTCTGACAAATACACAACTTCCAAAATCTTAGTCTTATTAAGAAGAAAAAATATTTCAGTCCTGCTTATATCTTAGCTGTCTCTCTATGTGTTATCACTTAATGCAGAACAGACCTTAGCATTGCAGAACATAAGTAGTTCTGCTGTAATGGTTGTCAAGTTTGACTCTCTTGCTTTTTCCCTGATAGTTCTTGTGGAACCTGCTTACAGAGAATTGAATTAATGGTTTTGGGGGTCATTATGTAAACTCTTCTGTATTTTTTTTGCTGGCTGCTTCAGATAACTTAATGCAGATTTGCTAATCTGCATTTTTCTTTATGCTTAAAATGACCAATGTATAAATGTTACTTCATGACTTCAGCTGACAACCAGCAATTAAGCTTCACATATCCTAAAAGTGAAGACTAGCAGGTAGATAACACAGTGTTAAAATGATTTAGAGGCCAGAGCCAGTTTCTGGCCATAATTATTTCTGATAATTGCCAAGTCCTTTTGCTGGTCTTTCCAGTTAAGATCTTTGAGAATCCCCACTACTATCCCTCAGCAGAACCCCTCTTCAGCCCAAAGGTATAGCTGTTTCTGAGGGAGCGCAGTGCTGAGTATAATATTTATAAAAAAGATAGCTTTTGTTTCACAGTAAAAACTTGTTAAAATGCTAATTAGATAATTCATACTATACTTGCTTGTTACAAAAGAGAATCAAATACATACCAGCTCTGTTTCTGAGCTATGTACCTTGTTTTTTATCTGCCTTCAGCTCCTGTGTGCATATTTTTTTTTAGTCATCCAGTTTTTGCAATGTTTTGTCATGCATCTAAACTAAGCACGGGAATAGGTCTTCAGCATGTCTTGCTGAGTCGCATTTCAGATTGTTCATTGCCAGAGAGATTTGGGTTTATATGTACTTTATAAAGAACTCTGGTTGTTGGTCTGTGCAGTTGTTATTAGTACAAATGAATAAATATATTTTAAGTACCATGCAAAACAAAGGCAGCCAGAAAGCAAGCCAATTCTGGTAGTCTGATTTGCATAGTTCAAAATCCAGAAAATTCTACCCATGTGTAGGAGGACTGCTGGTTCTTCTTTAAAAGTTATAGTTTAGATTTTTGTTACAGATTTAAAAGTAACTCCTTGGGGGTAAAGGGTATGTGGGAGGCATTGCAGTAAGTTTCTGAAACTCGTGAAGTCAAAGATGCGATAGAGAGCTATGAAGGGATAAGTATTGTAGTGTAAGTCATTTATTGAATATATCCTTTTTTAAAAAAAAAAAAAAAAAACAAAACACCAAAACAGCTCTTAATTAGCTTTAATCCTATATTGACAGTCTTTTGGACAAAGACAGATAGTCCGTTTTCTTCCAAATATACTAGTGACAGGAGTTCGCTCCACATTTGTACACATCTTGCACGTACAGCACTTCTGATTAAATTGTTAAAATTTAGAATAAAAAGGTACTTTTCCTCCTTTTTCCCCTTTTTTCTTTTTTTTTTTTTCCTTTTTTATTAAAGATGTACTTGCCATATACATGCTCTCACTCTGTCATTTTTTCAGAAGCAACAGCAGAAGCGATGGACTATTTCTGACTTGCACATTCAACAGTCAGGAGAAAAGGATAATGTAATGAAAATTAGTATTTAGGAACTCTGAGCTGGAACTCATAAATTAAGGAATCTGACAGTATGTAGGCTACTAGACTGTTTCTAGATCTTATTAGCTGCCAGTTACAAACCCATCTAGCTTCTTACCTTATCCATTCCACTAGTTATGCATTGTTCCAAACAGGAGACTTGCATTGGTCATCTGTGGGGGTTTTCCATTTTTTTATTCATATGTGCATGTATAATACATACAAAGAATACATTTCATAAAATGTCCTTAAAAATCAGCTTGCTGTGGTCTGCATAAAATAATTTCTATACTGAACAATGCTGTAAGCTGTGACATTAGTGTAACACCATAATCAAGACCTCCCTTCCTCAGTGACTTGCAGGTGGTGACCTTGAAACCTTCTGTAGATCTGCAGATACAGCAGCAACTCTCTCCTCCAAATAAACCTGCCTGGCTTCTTTTTGCAGAAAGTCTAGAAGACTGCTTATTTTTGGATGACTGGGTGAAACAGTGCTTCACGCGCGTTTTTTCTGTTGTGAGGTTATATATTAGTACTCATTGTACTTTAGGCACTTCTTTCTAGGGAGACGAGCATATTATCTCCCAGAACTTGAAGGCAGAGCCATGTGCTTCATTTTATTATTCAAAAAAACCTTCTTGCAGTAAGAAAGAGGGATTGATTTCTTTTCTGTAGTGGTGCCTGTGCCTCAGCAAATCCTGAAGATGGCATTGGCCTCCTGCTTCTTCATTCATCTTCAACTTCATCATCTACTCTCTGGTTTCTTGTAGGCGTCTCCCTGGAGGGTTCATTTCTATCTTCTTTCTCCCTACATTGTTCAGGAGTAGAGATGTTAATAAAAAACAGCTAGAAATTATACTGAAGAGATTTTGTGTTAGGATGGGTTCAGACTGCTCTAAGCTGGCCTGGAAGTGTACCAAACTGAAATCCATAAATTAAGTCTTGCTGGTAATTCAACAGATGCGTAAGCTACTTTTTTTTTTTTTTTTTTTTTTTTTTTTCCCAATAGCATATATGTAGAGAAAAGGTGACTGGTATATCTTTTCTCATCCCCCTTTTGCTCCAATGGTCTGTTTCCATCATGAGAATAAACAAAAGGTTTCTATCATGGAGTGATAAACCTGAATACAGAGCCTCATGGTGATTTAGGCTAGCAAGGACAGGCACAGCTATAGAGACTCTGTGACTTGAGAAACAGTCTGGGCTTTGATTATCAAGTAAGTGTGCATGCTTGACTGATTTGGGCTTGCTAATTCAGTTCCAAGATTTGAATGTTTGGGTTTTATCCCAGAGACCACAAAGGTGTCTGGTAATACTGGGCATATTCTGTGAGAAGAGATGGGAGCTACTAGGGTAGAAACTGAAAGGAGGAAGCAGTGCACACTTCCTTGATTTTCTTTTTTCTCCCATGCTTTCCACTCCATATGTTGATGCCAGAGGGAGAACGTGAACCCTTGATATGTTCCATTCACTTTTCTAGGGAAAGGTACTTACGTCATCTCATAGTCCTTGTCCTTGTCTGCCCGACAGCAGCAGCAATAGGCTAAAATACCAATAACTATAATTGCAGCAACAGCTCCACCAATGATGCCAGCATAAAGAGCTATGTTCATGGATGCTATACAGGAAGAAAAGAATTCGACTTTTGCAGTGAGAGTGATATCAAATGCAGTCAGCACAATCGCTGGACTTCAAATCCCACCACCAGACATGAGCTCTCACTACCAGATCCAGACTAAGTGGAAGCCACATTTATTTGACTACAGCAACTGGAATTAATTCTGTACTGGATAGCTAAGTCTGCACGAGCAGTCAGTTCGATGGTGATAGGGAAGAGCCCCTGGTTCTGAACAACTGCTGCACTTTATCAGTAAAGTTTAGATTCAGACTTTGGGGGCTCAAGCCTATATGCATTTTCTTTGGTCATCTCTGAACTAACCCTAGGAGTTAGTGAGTGATCTGTGAGCATGTAAACCAATGCAGAGAATCTGTCTTAAAGGTGAAAAAAAGTGCTGTTTTTTTGAGAGAAAGCACAATTTTATACTTCTGTCTGCATTGCCTTCATGAATCCCTTGCCACTTAGCTAGGGTACTTTCTCTGGTACAACTCTTCTGGTGGTAAGCAACCCTGTCTCTTACGTGGCAGAACGCTGACTGTCATGTTGCAGAATTCCTTTCCCACAGTGTTTGTTGAAGTACAGATGTAAAAGCCGGAGGTATCTGCTGAGATGTTCTTCAGACTTATTTGTTCCCCTGTTGCAAAACAGAAACCCAGTCAAAAAAAGAGAATAATTAAAGCAGGAAGGAAGTGTGGACAGCAGCCCTTCAATTCTGGCCCCAGGTAGTGGGAGTGATGAGAGGTTATCAAAGCTGATGGATTGCTCCATCTTGCTCGGGAGCTGCCATGCTAGTCCCTAGGTTTTAGTGTGATTTGTGGGAGGACAAACGGAAGTGTGCAGTTTTGATTACAGGGAGAATGTGGCATTTGATCATTCCTTTTAGAAAGAAAATTGTAGGTAGAGGGTAAAGAAGTATGTGTGCTTAGTGAAAGCTCTTTTGCAGTGGCTTCTACCCAAACCAAGACACAAACATAAGATGGCCCAAACTGGCATTTGGCTTTGAGAACTCGTCATCTGATTAATTAACTTGTAAAATAACAAAAAAACTTTTAAATCCTCCAGCTATTAGGATTTCAGATCGGAATTGTTTAGTAGGGTGGGAACCAGTTTTCTAGTCTGGAGAGGTCATGCAGGCTGTGAAAACAAAGGAAAGTAAAGAAATGCATTGACATGGGATTGATACGATACTGTTGTTTTCTGTCCAACCTAACAGGACTCAGAGCCATATTAAAGCTTGGCTCTCTGCTCAGGCAGTCAGTTTGTGTTTGTTACATCTCCAGCTGACATTTGCATGTGTAGTCCATGCTTTTTGCTTGTGATCTACTGATAAAGGTTCACATTCCTGCTCTAAAAGCAAAAGGCTCTAAATACATTTCGGTGACTTTCCTGTTTATTTTGCCTGTGATCTCACTTCTTTCCATCCAAATCGTGGGATCGGGATTCTGTTTAGTCTCTGCTGGCACCTAGTGCTAGATAGTAAAAGAGCATGCAAACCAAGAAATAACAGACTGCATGCTTGATTTGAGGTTGTTTTTTTTTTTTTTTTTTTTTTTTTTTTTGTTTTGTTTTTTTTTAGTCTCTACATACTGTCTGTGCTCGCTTCTCTGTTTTGTTTTTTTTTTTTTTGCAGTGTGATGTTTATACCTCTGAGAGTTGCAGTCTATAACTGGACTGTAAATCCTCTTGTATTACATGAAAAGTAATTAGTGAGTCAAATCAGGAAAAGTGCGGGTCAGATGCTATCAGTTTTGCAGTGGCTCCTAAGGGGATTCTGCACATGCTGCAGCACTGGGACTTGCTTAGCACTGAAAGAAATAGCTTGTAGTGACAGCAGGGCATCCAGCCAGCTTGGGACAGAAGGGGAGGGTCAGCACTCTACTTGGACATCAGTGCTCTGATGCAAACAGAAATGAGGTAGAAATGGATTGGAAGAGACTCCTGTCCCAGGGAGGAGCAGGATGACAGCAGAAGCAGGCAGGCAGCTGCTGCTGGAAGACAGCAAATCCGGGTAATGTTCAGGGCTGTGCATGATGCATTGGCACCACTTAGTGGCCAGTCAAATGAATAAGGTTTGTATCCCTGGTGATATTTTGTCTTTTGCATAATTTATGCAAGAATCGGCTAGTGAGCGTTGAATATCCTGTCGAGTCTGACCATAGTTTACCTCCATAGCGATGCTACAGTAAGTTAAACCAGGAAGGGTAGGTTCAGATACTCAGTCTTTCTGAAGCTGAACATACCAGGAAGAAACAAAGTTGTCTGAAGAAATAAATCAGTTCTCTGTCACTACTACACTTCAAAGAATATTAAGCCTTCATTTCTGTGTGAATACTTCTACCAAAGGTCCTGTCGTGGAAATTCAGTTCCTTTTTTTTCCAGATTCTGACTTAAAATGACAGCAAATAAAATACTGGGGCCTGTGTGACATCGCTAAAGAGCCAGAAGCCTCTTATATGCTCAAAGCAGGAATGGTGTAATTGTTTCTCATACCATCTTCCCCATGGCAAGTCGCCATCTCTGGAAGAAAGTAGCTTCCAGAGCCAATTTTTGGTTGCTTTCACCCTGGAAAGTGACTTGGTCATTACTGAGCGAGCTGGGATATAAAGACACACCAGTTAGAAAACTTTATGTTATTCCTCATGTTATGTCCCCTTATGCCCAGCAACTGAGAGTAATTATTTCTGGCTGCTTCCAGAGTGAGCCAGCTTTCTCCCCAGGTAGGAGCTGAAGTGAATGTCTTACTGACCACTGTTACTTCAGGTATCAGTCCTTCTCCCCCTGCCAAGTTATTTGTGAATGTGTCTTGTATCAGAAGGACAACTTTTCAAAATCATGGTCAGAAAAAGCCTTAAGTGTGTTTTTGTATTTGCATTTCAAAATCTTGCCAGTCCTGATCTATAGAGATCTCAAAGACTTAATGTTTTTCAATTTCTCATACCTTCTGTTGTTGGTAGTACACGGGGCTCGTTTTGTACATTGAAGCTTTGCCAGGTATATCTGGGCTTTGGGGAGCCCTCATGAGAAATGCAGGTCAGATTGATTGTCTGTCCATATTCTGGTGTCCCCAAAATCTTGCATTCTGGCTTGGATGGTGCAACTGAAGGAAGAAAAAAAGGAAAGAATTTTATTAATGAAAAGTCATTTTTTGTTTCAACCCACCTCCTACACCTGTGATTTTTATTCTTGCTAAACAGAGCCTGGTCTTGCACCTACCACTGTCTTCTCAAAGGCACTGGAGTGAACTTGTCTCTAATTTGTTTCTCCCTTCTTGGCACTGGTTAGCCAAGAAGGAACTATAAGATGCATTTTGAGATATAACAGTGTTCGGTAACTCGTCCGTTGATAACTAGAGTATGACAAGCCACAGGAATACACTGTAATGATGCAGAGGTTATTAGGAAAGCAAACTATACAACTCTGAAGGCTATTTTCTACAGTTGGGTATCTAGGGGAGTTCGGTGCTCTAAGCCTTCCAACCTACTTCCATAGTAATAGGAAAAGACCAAAGATGGAATTGTGGATGATAACTTCCTGGGAATTTTTTTTTTCTATTAGAAAGTCTGTTGTCTAAAACAATGTGGATATTAGAGGAAAGGACAGTATTTTGTCTAACAGATCTGGTGTTGCCTCCATCATGCTTACCAAGGACGAAAAGCGACAAGATTGCAGTCTGCCTGGGGGGGTCATTCCTTAGACGAACGTTGCAGGTGTATGTCCCATTGTCTTCCATGGTCACTGCATTAATGGTGATACTGATGTCCCCTTTGTTTACATCACCACTAAATTGTATACGGTTTTCATAGCCCTTGCCATACTGTACAAGTCCATCAAAATACCTAGTAACAGCATCATGCTGATAGAGAGGGAAAACGATCAATTCTAGTTTCTTCTGTGTGAGTGTACAACCTAACCTGATGGATTAGCCCACTCTTAAGAGAGGAGCAGCTTGGAAAAGAGGGCCTTAAACTGCCCTGGTTTACCAAAAAGCCAAGAAAAACATAGAAATTCAAAGGGTCTACGTTTATGTCTGAAATCCCCTCTCCCACCTTATCTGAAGTCACAGACAATTGATATCTTTTTCTGAGCCTTATTCACTGTTCTTCTCCATGACAGGACCCATGAGACTTGTCTGAGATCCGTATGTCAAATTCCCTTATGACTACAAAAACTTCCTTGCTTTCTTCCAGCAAGGAACTTAAGAGAAGAAATCTTTGGCAGTTACTGCAAGGCTATTCCCAAAGGCTGCTTCCCCTCACTAATTCCCAAGAAGTCAAGAACTTCAGAGGTCTCTTTACCTTCAAATACTACATATGAATGTAGAAGACCTCAAGACTCTCTCTGTGTACTATTATCATCAACCTTAAACTTTTTATATAGTATCAAAGATATGTATATATAAAAATACATATCTGTAATACATATAATTTAAAATATGCATATCTTTTTATAAAGTGTGTGAGTATTTCACATATTTTAATAGATGTAAACCCACAGTACATACAGTGATGTATTCTCAATACACAGTTGCAAGACCAAGAGAGAGGAAAGAGAAGGGTGGGGGCTTGCCTTATATCCTGCAATAAATTTGGGATAAATTGCATCTAGAATCAGAGTTTCTGTTTGCATAGTTCTGAGATTAAAGAAAACCTTGAAGGAATCTTTTTCTTCCAACATACATTCACGCCCACAGTTCTGCTTCCATCTCTCCTCCCACCCCCCTCTTGGATGCCCTATTATATGTTTACGCAATTTGATTTACCTCACTGTTGATTTTCCTCCAGACAACAACATCTCCTGAGGCAACAGAAGCCTCTGTTTTAAAATGACAACGGAGAGTAACGTTGTTCCCCCGTGCCACCTGTATTTCCCTGGCGGGTGCTTCCACAGTGAGGGCATGAGCAGTCGCCAGAACTAGGAACAGAATAAATTCTGCAGTCAGCAAAATTAACGACATCTGGATTCCACGTTTTATCTCTTCAGCTTTCTTACATGCCACGACCACCCCACATCCCCTCTGTCATCCATGACATCCATCCCCACTGAGCAAGAGGTGATATAGGCTGGGGCTGATTGACTGTAGGAAGCTGCTGCACGGGCTGGCTAAGAGCTAAACTCTGCTTTCCTTCCCTTGCTTCCCTCTTCTTTACCTAGAGATACACTGCCATGGAGTTAATAAAGATTTTTTTTTTTTTTCTAATCTCTCTTTCAGTGTGACTGACAACCTTTGACAGTTCTAAACGTATAGAGGGAGACAGATAAACAGATAATACAAGTGCATCAGCAGTCTTAAGGATTCAGGCTAAACTAAAGAATTGATATTGTCAAATTTCAGGGATCAGGAAAACTGTCAAATAACTTGCCTCAATCCAAGTCTACACAGAAGTGACATTTTGTGCTAGGGAAACAAAACCTGTCCATGTAATGCCCTGGAAAGAGAAAAACCTAGAAAAGTAAAGAAAGCTTGAAAGAAACAAGAAACGAATAGCTATTAATTTTTAAAAATTAGTAGGGTAGTAGTCATCTTTCTTCAAGAACTGTAGCTCCTACCTGTGAAGCACAGGAATAGCTGAGAGTTGAATAAAACAGAAATCCTCTGTGCCTCAGTGAAGCATGCAGAGCACAGGGTAGGTGTTTCTTGTACGCTGTATTCCATTTGACTTAATGTTAATACGTCATACCTGAGAACTAGCTAGTGACAGATATTAGTTATTCTAAGAGCTGGGCTGGAGGTTTACCTCTGCTCTGCCACAGGTGACCTTCATGCCTGTGGGAACCTATGTTTAAAAACACCTGCTTTCTCCTTACAGTTTATGTGAGGGTGTATTGTTTGTTTGGTTTTTATGGCACCAAACTGAATATCATGAAAAAAGTCTAAGTCTGAAACCAATTAGAGAGAAGGCAGGGAGGTGGGAGAGGGAGTGCTGCTCGGAGGCAAAGAGGAACATTATCTAGGAAGGAGGAAAGTGGAGGAGAGCAGAGATGAATGCTCTCCCTGGGAGGGGCACATTGTGTGTGGTGGTGAAGGTTTACTTCTGGAAGAACCAGGCTGAGTCAGTGTTCCCTGGAGAGGATTTGACTGAGAAGTTGCTGTCTAGCAAGTTTTGGGTCCTCATTCTGCCATATTTCTGTCCAGATTAGATCTATAAGGAAGTGTAATGTGTAAGGGAGAGAGCAAAGGACATCTAGATTTCACCTTGAGTTGCAAGCTGATTGTGAATACTTGATATTTTAGACAGGAAAAAAAGAGACACGTCCATTAGGTCAATAAGAGTAAGCCATTGGCAAGTTGAGCACTAGCAGATCCATGACTATAGCAAGTGACCGATAGTGTCCCTTAGAAAATAACAACGTAGGGACACAAAAAGTTTTCTTGTCACTGGGCTAGGAACCTGCTGTTAGCAATTCAGGTACTTGCACAGGGTAACATGGGACATTTGGCATGAGGATCTGCTTCTGCTTGGGAGAGGCAAAATCTTCTCTAACAGGTTCCCAGATCCAGTCTGTTCTCCATAGCAAATGGTCCTTCAAGTCTCTTCTTAGAAATAGCCCATACTTCCAGAACTGTCGCATCTTTTGAGATGAGTTTGATGGGAATTTTCATAGCAACCAAACCTTTCCCTCCTCTGCACACCTCCTTCTTTGCTGCTGGGCAGGGATGGCCTCCCCTCCACAGCTGCCTTCAGAAGCAGCTTCAGACATTTTCAGCCGGAGTACAAAGGCTGCCTTCTGCACTTGTTAGCATCCTGGCAAGAAGTGCAGCCAAGTGACCACAGCCAGAGGCTTCTAGCTGAAGTTCCGATCTTTCTGCATTCTCCATCCCGTAACTAGAGTTGTTCTGTAGTCTGGCACAGTTAATTAATTCAGCATGTGTTTTAGTCTCTTCCTCTATGACATGGCAGTGGTGTTCTGTTCTCTTGGGGATTAATTCATTTACGGCTGCTGACAGGAATGAGAAGGAAACCAGCAGGGCAAAGTATTTCTAGCATGGTTTTATTGCAGCCACTCCCAGGTCTTTCCCTGCTCTGGAGCACCCAGAGCAAGGGCCATGTTTGTGTTGCCCCAGGGATCTTTCTGGCTGCATTTTTCATTGTGCCTTCTATATAAGACCCCTATAAAAGCTTTATGGTTGCCTATTGTGACTGGATAGAGACATTTTTCTGCATTTAGGTGAAAATCACCACCATCTGTACTAGGAGATGGAGCAAAACCCGTCTCCTGATCCTTTTATCACTCAGAAAATGGTTCTACCAGGCTGGGGTTCACTGACAGGTCATTAACTCAGCCCTGAGGCAGAGACTACCCAACCCCAAGGCTTGCCCTCACAAGTGCTTTTCCTTCTGCCAATTGGATGACTCAAATCATACAATAAATGATATCTTTGGTTTTTTCCAAACATGTCTTAAGTGCAGCGTAGGGAAACAGCTGAAGCAAAGCCCATATACAAGAGACACAGCTTGTAACAAGGGAGACTGCCTATTCATCTGTTGCTGTCACCCTAATGCCCGAATTCATCTGATGCTCTCCTGTCTTTCACCAGCAACATCTCTTTCTGGCTCCCACTCCTCCCTTGTTAGGGCTTCTTCTGGCTCTGGGGGAAGGTGCATGGTTTCATTTTGGGATGCCATTTACTCACGCCAATTTCCTCTTCCCCCCTTCTCACCACATTTCACTTCTTCACAAAGTCAACAACAGCCAGCTAGTCACAGTCAGCATGTCTAAAAGGGGGGGTTTATTCTTCAGGGGTTGTTTTTTTTTTTTTCTGAGACAAAACAGAATCTATTCAAAGTATGGCTGAAGGGAGGGGAGGACCAATTCTGAAAGAACTTCAGAAAAAGAGAGAGGACTAATAACCTGTATAGTACTAGAGGGATGGCATCACTTAGATTTAAGCCTTAGAATTACTTTTTTGTGTATTATCCATTAGTGTGTTTATAACTTTTTAAGAGATTGAGAAAGGTTTTATCTCCCTCTGCTCAACTTAAACATTTGTACCTATACAAAGGAAGAAGAAAATCAAAGTGATCTGTCTACTTTCACATTTCTTACAGAGTGTTAATCAAAACAGAATGAAGGGCAATTAATAGAGCTGGAAACAAATTGAGAAATATTTTGTTTGCTGAAAAAAATTGAGATTCTGATCAAGCAAAATTATTCTTGTTAATTTGTCTTGGTAGCTTTCCGCTTTTCCTACTTTTCTCGCTAGCCAAATGTTTTACTTAATTTTTACAAGGAAATGCTCCAACTTAATTTCTCAATACTTTACCTCAGGATTTATCTGAAATTTAAGTCCAAAGTGGGTGAGGGAAAACTTCTTAATTGTGAAATTTGGAAAAAAAAGTAAATATTTTGATTGGTTCAGAATGACCATTTGGGGCTTTTCCTTCAGCAAGTTCACAGTACCAGTTACTCGCACAACTGCAGTGAAAAGCTGTACAGCAGAAATCAGCCTGTGCATGGAGCCTGATGTAGCTCATTCAGGGCAGCTCTGGCATCCCAACACTGCACTGCTGTGCAGTTTCTTCACTCCGGTGCAGTGCAGGAATCTACTATACTTTCTCAAAAAATTTTTCACAGGCCAGTGTTTCAACTCTGAATTATTACCATTTGAGTCCTGCCCAAACAGGCAAGAAGAGCTTTACCCAATGTACCTATCTCTGCCCTGAGAAGTTTCTCATCTATAATTTGGATAGCATGAATGGAGAGAATAATGAAAAAGGAGAGTGAACACCAATGGCATTAAACAATTTACATAATGATCATCAAATCGTGACCCAAGTTGCATATGGAGCACTTCTAGTTTTCTAAATACGTTTAACTTTGCAAATTTTCTTCTTGTGGGTCTTACGGTTGAAGTGAGGTTTTCAGGACTTTTGGTAAGAAAAACGTGCATAGCTTTCTTTGGAGGCTGGAAGCAGGTATAGGAGCGTTGGTATGAGAAGGTGGGACAGGTCAAAAAGCAGTGGAACTTAGCCTGGAGGCTCTGCAAGGCAGGATGAGAAAGGGCAAGTCTGTGATGAAGGCCAGGGGCGAGCTGGCTGATTTATATGCATTAGTGGGAATTGTTGTGCATCCCCTTGACATGAATAATATATAGAGATCACAAGTTGTATCAGAGTTTCTATAAACAGTAGGATTTAGACTTAGACAGATATACGCTACATGCAGATTTATGTGTAAAAGAATAAAACCCAAGGACTTCACCACTTCCAGCTGAGGAATTCCTTCTTCAGAGATAAACACTGTATTTAACAGAAGCCATTAAAACTGTTTTTTAAAAGTATTTTCCAACCTCATGAAGAATAGCATTCTTTTCCTGTTCTTTACACTGTCTTGTGGCTTTAGGAGATGCCTAGGAGTCTGGACATTAAGCACAGAGACAGTAAACACACCTGCCTGATCATAAACACGAAGGAACTTTTACTAAACAAAAAGAATCACACAAACTCCATTGGCGTACTCAGACTTCGTAGTGCTCTTTCCTTCTACCCAACCCTTGAGGACATAAACAAATTAGTACTCACTCGCACTGAAAAAGAACAGCCAAAGTCTTTTCATTGCCATCCTCCTCATCTGTCCTTTGTTTCACGTCAAGGTGCTCTTTCTTGTAATCTCTAGGTAGCTGAGTAAGTAATTGGCTTTAGCTGAAAGGCTGCTTCACTAAAACCTCACAGGTTCACTTCCTCAGTCTCTTTTAGAGTGCTGCTCTTCTGGTCTGCCACTCCCCTCCCAGCCAGAATGACAAGCCAGATCACCAGTAGGCTTTGACATTGCTTGCTGCTCTCTGCCTAGGGTCAGAGAGGAGACTTGTGAACTTTCTTCCCCAATTAAACTGCCTTTCCCAGTTTCTCCTAACGTGCAGGTACATAAAGCAAGAGGCAAACCAAAGGGTGTGGTGACTGGGAGTGTACAATAAAACAACTGAAGTCATGCATGTGATGGATGACGCGTAACTAGGCGAGCATAAGCCTCATTCATTTTAGATATTTATTAAGGGAGCTGCCCACATCCAGGCTTTAAGAAACTGAGGTACCTAAATCCACTTTAAATATCTCGAAGAATATATCGTTTATGAAAATTTGATGACTAACAGGTTATGTAAGTGAGACGCATCTCAGCCAGGTTCTTACGCTCTTATGCCTACTGTTCAACAGCCAGGTTCTTACACCCTTATGCCAACTGTTCCCAGTGTGTGTCTACCTTTGTGCTGAAAAATGCCATTAGATAAACCGATGGAAGGCTTGTAGCAGGCTAGCTACGTATCCATCGGGGCGTGCACAGTGAAAGTCCAGCCATTGTTCACGTATTCTGGATGGGCATTTGGAATGCACAAATAACTGCTACTGTAACGGACTGAAGAATAAAAGGAGGATTGATGGCAGCTCAGGCAAATATCTGACATTACATTTAATTGAGTGCAGCTGGCTAGCATGTCTTTTAAACTCTTCACTTCCAATAGGCAGCAAGGGAAGTCTCCATCTGGGATAGTCATCTATGTTTCTAGCCATTTGAGAGACAAAGCCACTTTTAGGGTGTGAGTGATCGTTTTAGGCATTTTAGATGGTAACTTCATGTCTTTAGACATCATTTTCAGATGAAATTATCATACTCACAGTGCGATAATACTGATGAACTCTCTTCTGATTCTTGAAGGAGGCTACCTCAAAAGTTGGTGTCTACACCAGAGATACATGTGTTTAGTCCAGTAAAGTGGATCTGGATCTTGATCTTGTGGTGACCCTATACTTTCATGGTAAACCTGCCAAAAGGCACACTGAAGACTGCCTTTTTTTTGACATGACAGTTATGCAAAACACCTCCAAGACAATGAAACTTATGAGTGACTGGAAATCCAATCTATTCTTCTGTGCTTGATACATAATCTCTGTTGTCTTCAAAGTGTTAGCACAAAGAAAATTAAAGCACATAGGAGTACAGAAACTGTATTCTTTGGTAATTTTCCAAATGAGGACAGCAGGTAGAAAAATCCATCCTGCTGTATACATCTCATCTTTGGTAGGCTGCAGGCATTATGAGGTGGCAAGGATGCTGCAAAGAGGAGACCCTTTTTCCAGGAACAGCTTGCTTACTTCCAAATGCTAACTACAAATTACTTATGACATAAACAAAACTGGAGCAAGGTCAGTAATCTCCTTTCTCCTTTTTGGAGCCCACAAGGATGACGTTCATCACAAGGATGAGTTTCTTTATTTTATCTCCTTTAAGGACTTTAAGATCTCTGTGGTTTATCCCACAGCCTGCAGGGAGAGACATGTAGGATCTTTACTCTAGCTTCCACACTTTTGACTTTGCTCCCATTTAATATTTTACCTGAATCTGATCAACAGCGTTAGTGACAAAAATGCCTTCACTGGACACCATCTGCCCATACTTCCTCTGTTAATTCTCAGTTCTCTACATAACAGCTTTGAGTATTCACCGAAAGAAGTTGGTTACAGACCCTGACAGACACTGTACCAACTTGGTAAGCTTGCCATTATTCTCTTCACAGAAGTAAGACTTTCACTATCATTTATACAACCTATCTTCCCTCTCCCCAGTAATTTCAAAACCCACTCAATTGTTTTCAGCTAAATTTGACAGACAGATAGTAATCTTAAAGATGGGAAGTCCTTTTCAGTTTCATAAAAATCGGCAATCCCAAATCAGTTGGGATAATAGATAAATCTAAATTAATGGTACCTTGTAGGCACTAATCATTGTCTTCCATTCCAAGAATCTGTGGTTGTGCAACCAATGCACCAACCATGGTCTGTCTCATCTTTTGCGCAGCCAGGCAGATAGGGAAATACAGGGGGCAAGAGCTGATGGCTCCATGAGGGATGTTTATCGTGCTGGGGCGCCTGGACTGCAGGACACACATCCATTGGAAACCAGGCTTGTTAATCCCACTGCTTGTGGAAATACACGGGGTTTAGTCTGTTTTCTTAACTTCAGCAACTGGCTAGTTAAAAACCCAGAACAGAGAGAACTTCCAGAGTGAAGCTGAAAACTGCCTATAACAATAGTTACTCAAATACCTAAAGCAGGTCTGAGTTTAGTAACTTTACTGTCTAAAAGATAGTATGTAGATTAAGCACTGCATGTTAATCCTGAAACAAATGCACTATTTTCATGTAGATTTGTCATTTAATTGTAAAAGTAACAAGATGCTTCCTCTCCAAGTGTACTGACATATGTCTAGTTCCACTCCAATGAGGGGGAAGGACAGGCACTGGATCTCGCCTCACAGTCCATAACTTGGACAGGCTGCCTCGTTTGGTGTCTGTGCAGAAATACTGGTGTGGCAATGTTTCACTGTGGGAACAGTTTTACCCTGCCTCTGTCAGCCACTTGGTCGCATTACAAGTAAGTTAGTTGGCCCTCAAATTGATAATGTTCTGTTGTTTTGGAGACTTAGCTACGTAAGGCTGGTTTCCTAGGTATCATAGAGGGCATATGCTTCAACACCTGATACTTACATAAATCTGATAGTAAGACACTTGTCTAGATGCACTTTATTTATTGCCTTTGTTAGTTATTTAGACACAGATTGGTGAAGGTATTTAGGCACTTATATCCAGTCACTCTACCCTGGCAGTTCTTGTTGGGGGTCGCAGAAGCTGTTGATAAATGCAGGAGGCAAATATACAGGTTACGTATGAGAAGTCAGTAGAGCTTCCCAAAGAGAAAAACTGGGACAGCTGGCAATTTTAAGAGAATTTAGTTTTGTTTCTGGGTTAACTTTCTTTCCTTGTCTAGTGTGAGCTGCCAAAACTCACAGGCATTGGCACCGCAGCTAAAAGAACTGATACAGATACCAGAAACACTGCCAGAGCTTTGCCATGGCCCTACTTAGGCTAACACAGGCCTATGTCTTAACATAGGCTAAAGAACATCGATTTCTTCATCACTCACCCATGGGCAATGCAAACATTTAAAGTCTTATTTTTGATGATGGCTGCTGCTCCGGGGAATCTTTTTGCTGATACATAAGATTTTTAGGGGATATTACTACCTTATTTAAATTAAACTGCCATTGACATTAAAAGCTTTAATACGAAACTAGGGTGGCGTTATTGTGTTGCCAAAAATACATACTCTGATAAGGCTCGCCTGTGAAAGCCAGTGAGGATTAATACGTAGGTAGCATAGTGCTAACACTATAAATGATAGTAACTCTTGTTACGTTAAGACAACCCACTTACAACTTGTTACTTTTTGCTATGTTTGCCTGTGCATACATTCATTAGCAAAGATTTCTAGCATCCTTGCCTCTGTAATGCATGGTCATCTTGATCCCATAAAGCACTAACTTGTAAAAAGTAGTGAGGAAGAGCTGCCAGGCTGCCTGCTCTCTGTGTATTCTCTGCAAGTCTGCAACATGTGATCCCATCTGCATCCCTATGTGTGAACGGCTGCAGTGGGCATAGCAGAGCTTTCAGGTGTAGCCATCATCCCCTGTTGCAGTTGTGTCCTAAAGACTGACAAACAGGATTTTCAGAAGCAGCTCAATGACTTAAAAGCGTCAGGTTTTATTTGATGTCAGTGGTATAAGTGCTCTCATAACATTTAGGTCCTTTGAAAACTCTGTTCTCCAATAATAAGGGAGTCCATAGGCAAACATCTTTAGATTACTTCCTGCCTCAATTAGCAGTAATTAACAAGAACACATGTCACTGCATTGCAAAGGGGCTAAAAATTACATTGCCCATAGGAGACAGCTATAGAATCAACACAATTCACCCTCTTTTGGTACATAAAACCTTTACGATCTCTTCAAACCTGTAATCAGTAATCCATTTCTCCCCTTGATGACACCTGAGATTCAATATACCACTTTGTCTTGTTCCTACTTGCTCACCCCAGTAACTGTATTAACACAAATCTAGGCTATGAGCAGACCAAGACTTGAATGCCTGTTTCATGGCTCTTCCCTGCCGTCATGTGGCATCCCTACAGATGTTGCCCCATACCCACGTGGGGATGCAGCACTCAAGTAAGAAGGTAATGGGGTATGCAGGCCCTGCCCAGCATGATGCAGCAGCAAAGGTATCTGTGGTATGAGATAGGTCAGTTCTTCACTTTCTTTCTTGTTTGCTTGTTTGTTTTCAAAAGGAGTCAACAGTGGGATGTCATTGCAAGACTCAGAACTGGAGCCCCCAGTACAGGTAAATAGCACTTAGGCTTTCTTCTGGTTCTGCCCCAGATCAGCGTGGCTCATGAACTTTGCTGTGGAGTCAAGAGATGAGAACTGGAGGTTTCCTCTTTGGACAAGCATCAGAGAAGACACAGCGTACCTCAGTCCTAGCTCTTCCAAGAACAAAAATCAGCTAATCATACAATCATAGAACCACAGAATGGTTTGGGTCAGAAAGTACCTTTAAAGATCATCTAGTCCAACCTCCCTGCCATAAGCAGGGACATTTTTCATTAGATCAGGTTGCTTAAAACTCCATCCAACCTGGCCTTCAACACTTCAGCGATAGGGCATCCACAGTTTCTCTGGACAACCTGATCCAGTGTCTCACCACCCTCGTGGTAAATAATTTCTTTCTTATATCTAATATAAATCTCTTTATAATAACTGCCCTCTTAGTTTAAAATCATTGCCCCTTGTCCTATCACTACAGGCCTTGGTAAAAAGTCTCTCTCCATCTTTCTTATAAAATCCCCTTTATGTACTGAAA